ACCAGATTCCAATGGAGGAGGAAATCAGGAAGAAGCGGTGGAAGTGGATAGGACATACACTACGAAAAGCACCTAACTGCGTCACAAGACAAGCCCTCACATGGAACCCTCAAGGTAAAACGAAAAGAGGAGGGCCAAGGAACACATTACGCCGAGAAATAGAGAAAGATATGAGAGGAATGAACAAACATTGGATAGAACTGGAAAGGGAAACCCAGGACAGAGTTTTGGTTTGGGAAAACTGGTGGGCGGCATATGCTCGATTGGGGGTAACAGGCGAAAGTATGTAAGTAAGTAAGGGTCAAGACTAAGGTAATTTATAGTCAGATAAAAACTAGGCTAGACATGTAACAAGCCAATCAGGCGATGCACATATATACTGATTGAAGTAAAAACAACCAAGGTTATTAGCGAATAATTGCCAAAATCAAAAGACATGTGCAAGTAACTAGAGAGGTATGGGTTAGTTCGACTGTCTAAAGGTTTGGACAAGCAATCACTATAGGGCTTGACCAATCGGTACACACAAAACACTACACTGGGAAGTTCCAAACTAAGGCATATAATATACTTTTAAGTCGAGCCCGCAGTGTTTGTTCCAGCCTTTGGACAATTTAATCAATACACTCTTCTCGAGTTGATATTCACACACGTTTTCCAACCTTGCCAACTATTTGCTTTTATATTCGATTGTGGGAATGTGCCGCTTACATCGCTAGTCGCATGTCTAGCCTATTTTGTCTGATTGTAAATGACTAGAGTCATGCCTTATTACATTGAATTGGCTGTGTTCATTTAGCTCCGCTTTGCTTTCAAACTGTGTCTTCTCCTGTCTGTCTGCACGAACGATTAACTGAAATAAACTCGTCAAACTGAATACGCGTCGTACAAACGCGGTTTGTCTATGTATGACATATGGAAACTCAAAGGAAGATTTAATCCATCTCATACTCGATCATCTCTATATATCGGAGTCATCGCGAGCCACTAATGTATTGCTCTCTACTTCGAATTCAGCGCAGTCACTAAAAGTCATTCAGTACATTCAGGTTTCTAATTCTTATCTCACATTGACTGATTTTTGATTTCAACAATAAGACATTGTTGAATAGTTGAAACTTAAGAAGTATAACTGTAACGCCTATTGAAACTTTACTCTACCAACAAATTCCAGTTTTAATTATCAGTTTATTTTATAATCTCATGTTTGTGTGTGTTATTTCTAACTCCACCTGGAGTTTTTCTAGGGTTACTACCGGTTCCAAGCCCGGAAGAAAAGAGAAAGGTTAGGCATAGGGTTAGCAACCCCATCCCGAAGACATCCAACCAGAACTAATAATTCTCTGGTTGGCGGCCTGTGCTCCAGTAGAGATAACAGGTGTAATTAAGTGTCAGTAAGTTGTATCATTCCTAATTATTATCGATTACTTTCACTCTTAACTATAAGTGCATTCATTTTATGTGGTTTATTGAATCGTTGGGCTAACCACCTTGTTTCTTGTTCTTGACTTTTTCAGATAACGCCAAATTCATCGAAGCACACAAGTTACCTTCTGGCTAAACATAAATTTATCAAAGGCTAAAGATATATAGATTTCTTACCGATTAATGATAATAATAATAATAATAATTGGGATACTACCCCTAACTCGGGTCTCATATGTTCGAAAAATGAAAATGTCGGAACTGTGAAACAGTCACCGCCCGACATGAGACAAATGGTATTAGGAGTGTCTGGGCCTATTCACATCAAGCTGGGCTACATATTCTGCTATCCTATGCCATACTATGTGTGCATCCCATATGCTATACTGCTGCTATATAGAGCTGAAGGTCCTCTATGAGAGACCAGAGGTTCTCTGAAATGAACATTGTGGATGACTTGGTATTGCTTTGGCAAGTATTGCTAACAGTCCATATACAAAATTGGTTAGCAGGGTGACCGATTTCATTGATACTGGTAGTGGTTGTCTTGTAACATTCCCGAGGGCCATTGTCATTGGGGTGCCGTATTACATATCACGATTGCTAATAATAATCAGTTTGACAGTTATGTGTATGCGGGATGGGTCGAAATGGCTTGTTCATGCGGTGCATATTGACTATGACGCAATCGTGGATAGGACGTAATCACTATATATGTACTAGTGTATATAAATGGTGTAAATCGTCCACCGGCGTGTCAGGTACTTATGTGGTTGCACCACAAGATTGAGCCGAACTTTTCATGTCGAAACAGTAACACGTGAGCAGTCTCCTTGGTTCTCCTGCAAAACCAATGTAAAATTGACCTTGACAATAGAGCGTTCATTTATATAATTTAAAAATTGTGAATAATAGTTTCATAATAAAGTTGTAAAATTCAATCTACATTGAACAAATTAATAGCTGACTAGATTCAATAACTAGTAAACTAATTTGATGGTATTTTTGAGGCAAATAATACTGTTGAGTTTAAATCATGGAGATATATATATCGAGTTACAAATAAGTCTGAAATCGGATAAAACACTCACACACATATCGCAATACTAAACACCAAATTCACAAATATCAAGAGAGTTCTAGTGTATGGAGCGGAAACTTGGACAGCTACAAAGGTCATCATCCAGAAGACACGAGTGTTTATTAGCAGTTGTCTGCGCAAAATACTTCGGATTCACTGGCCAGATACTATCAGCAACAACCTACTGTAGGAGAGAGAAAGCCAGATTCCAACGGAGCAGGAAGAAATCAGGAAGAAGCGATGGAAGTGGATTGGACATATGCACATATTGAGGAAAGCACTCGACTGAGTCACAATATTTGCCCTCACTTGGAACCACGAAGGTCAAAGGCTAAAAACACCTTACGCCGAGAAGTGTAGGCAGACATGAGAACAATGAACAAAAAGTGAACAGAACTGGAAAAGGAGGCTCAGGGCAGAGTGGGTTGAAGAATACTGGTTAGCAGTCAATTCTCCATTGGGGGTAAGAGGCGTAAGTAAGTAAGTAAGTGATTTATTCAGTCTGATACTGTAACACCATAAATGTTGATTCATTTTACCACAAAAACTAGTCAGCAATATATTCATTAATCCTTAAACTCCACCTGAATCCCTTCTACGGTTACTACCAATCCCAAGCTCGTATAAAAGCGGATGGTTAGACTTGTAGTTAGCGCTTCCATCCTGTAGAACTCCAACTCGGTAAGAAAAACGCTAACCAGTAAAATAATTTACTGGTCATCAACCTATGCTCCATTAGTGGTAATAGGTGGAAGTTAGTAAGTAACTTACCAATTATGAGTGTTTGGTTGTGGAAATTTGATTTTCGCTATCTGGAATAACAACATCATCAGCGTAAGCATCAGGTAGATAGAAGTAAAATATTCAAAATTCCTTCACGTATAACTCGTAGCTTCTGGAGAAATTCGAATACTTCACTCACCCTACCTAAAGTTTGTGCTATTGACGATGTTGTTGCTGTTGTTCTGGACTGAGAACTACACAATCAAATCATCTCCAACTTAAAAAGAACAAAAAACTTCATCACAATCATCCTCCTCACATTTACTGCACAGTCTCATAGAATTTTTAGTTCATTCCATCCAAATTATTCTCTATCGCAACTCACGCAATCATCATCAGTAAATAACCAATCAGAATAGAGAGAAAAACAACGAAGGGAGAGATAAGAAAAACCAACGCACATTTTAATGTCACCAATCTGTTCTCTCCTGAATTCTAGTTTTGCTGAAAATTATCCAATAAGAAAACAGATATTTTCAATACACCACTCTCTCTCTCTCTAATATATATTTGTAGGTGGTGGGTAGAACTTAGAGAAAAAATGCAACAGCAACAAGTGAACATCTCTTAGTTGTTCTGTTGTTTGTTGCCTAGGCAACATTTTAAAGAGATAGGTGTATAGGTGTATATATGGGGAAAGATGGAAATTTGAAACCATCCCTAATAAAAAGAAAACATATTTGATTTCAGAATTGTGACAAGTTTCTCGTCAGCCCTAATGATTACACGTGTACATACACACACACTCAATCGTCAGTGTGTTGTTCTTACGTGTACACAACACACACTCTGTCTTTCCATGTAATTGGAGAAGTAAAGTTAAAAATTAAGATTGTCGTTTTCTGAATTCAAGGAGAATAATTTTTCTGAAAATATTCTCAATTCATTGGTCATACAAAGAAAATGAACGAAGAAAGTGTGTATGTATAAATTGCGTCTCTATTATGTGTTTTTGTGGATGTGTGTAAGTACGTACGTACGTACGTGTACCTTACCTACGGTGAACAAGTGCGATTAAAACAAATAAAAACATGGATAGATAAATAGACAATGCATACAAACAAAACATTCACTGTTCAATAAGCAATAAAAGCAACAAGAACAACAACAACAAACTATCTCTCTTTTTTCAAAGAACAAACATTGAACATTGAATAGAACAACAACATCATTAACAACAACTTAAACAACACTTACATACATACAATTCTTGTTTGTTTAAATATTTATATATATGTATATATTCTCCACTGTTTAAAATGATCCTTATTCTCAATTGAACAATTGAACAATTGAACATCATCGTCATCACCGCCGTCACCGCCGTCATCGTCATCGTCATCGTTGTCGTTGTTACAGTGATCTTGGCAAGTGTGTGTGTGTGCGTGCGTGTGGGTGTACACTGATCGATTTTAATGTGTGTTTTACAATTTGTATTAGATTACAGTTTATTTTTATTGTTAAATTAGACATTATTCACACACACAAAAAATAAATACAAATTGAATATTGAACAGTGAACATTGAACAAGAAATTGGAAGACGATATACGATATACGAAATACGAGGAGATACAAGGTATTTTTTTTTTAGAAAATACGTATACGAGCGAGCGAGAGAGAGAGAGAATGAGACAGTATTAACTTACCTCTTGCGTTGATATTTTAAAATTCGATACAATAATAATAATAAAAGGAAACGAAAGGAAATCATGTACAGTATAAATAACACTCATCTTAATGATCTTAATACTACTGATAATAATAGTACAACAGATGTAATCAGTAGTAGTGGTAATTTATTATCTGAATTCTATTATGATGGGAAATTTATTAATCATCTACCATCCAAGGAATATACATCGTCAGCGTCATGTTCTTCTACATCAACTTCCTCATTGACCATAATCCCATCGACTACAGTGACATGTTATGGCGGAATCACATCATCGTCATCTTCATCATCATCATCATCATCATCGGCAACATCACCATTATGCCATAATAATAATACAACAGTCAGTAATACATCGGATTATGTTTCGTACATTACTAGTCATCTTCATCAACCACATGATGAATATTTAAATTATCATGATGAAACTCATCGATATTATATGAATAATAGTACTACTAATAGTAATAGTAATAATCTTAATGAACATGAAAATTACTATCATCAACAATATGTACCAATTATTTCAACTGTACATACTACTACTACTACTACTACTAATGATGACAAGGATAAAAGTAGTATTAGTACTACTAGTAGTACTAGTACAAGTTGTCCTCCACATTCTACAACTACTATTCATCCTAATAATTATTTCAATGAATTACAAATTATTTGTATATGTGAAACATTACAACAACGTGGTGATATACAGCGTTTAGAATTATTTCTACAAACATTACTCAATAATTATTCACATCAAACTATACACTATTTAGAATGTATTCAAGTATCGCTAGCTTTGATAGCTTATTATCATGAAAATTATACTGAATTGTATCAAATTATAGAGAATTATAATTTTTCCACAAAATATCATAATAAATTACAAAATCTTTGGTTACATGCACATTACGCGGAAGAGGAGAAATTAAAAGGACGAAAACTTGGGGCTGTAGCAAAATATCGTATTCGACGTAAATACCCACTGCCCTACACAATATGGGATGGTGAAGAGACAAGTTATTGTTTTAAAGAGAAATCTAGAAATTTACTACGTGAATGGTATTATCAAAATCCTTATCCATCACCAAGAGATAAGCGGAAATTAGCTGAAATCACTGGATTAACTATTACACAAGTATCGAATTGGTTTAAAAATCGTCGACAACGTGATCGTGCTACTGATGTGTTAATAAGTAGTACTAATAGTACTAGTAGTACTAGTAGTACCACGATGACAACGACAACAGCTGTAATAAACACCCCATCGTTGATGACAATCACATCAACCACAAACACAAACGCAACAGTTAAAACACCAGTTTTATCTCCTCCATTAACTATATCATCGACAACGTTGGATAATAATACAACAATGACATTATTGCCGACATTGGTGACAGTGTCAACGAATTTATCCGGTTATTCATTGAACACATTGAATATGAATAACAAGCATTCATTAGAAATGATTGAACAAAATGTGGAAAATAATCAGAAAATCAATAAGTAAGTGATGAGTACCGTTTTAATTTGTGCTTGGCGGGGCATATCATGAAATGTAATGTTGTTTTATTTTTTAAATGTTCGGAATTGACGATTGAATAAGATGACGTCATCATGCAGTATTCGATGTTAGGTAGGAATTGACTAATATTGGGAAACTAGTATTCATGAATTAATTGGTTAACGATGCTATGATGTGTTGAAGCAAAATAATCCTGGTTTAAGTGACTGAATGAATATTAGTATTGAGATACAGGTGCATCCAGTTACAGACGAGTACCGAATAGGATGAAATATGCGACCTGTATTCCATTGCTATTCAACATCTGTCAATGACCATTGATATGCTTGATTACTATTACGAGTTCACCTTACTCGGTAAATTCATCGAAGATCAACGATACAATGACACCATACGGTAGTCTAATCCGATTGTCTCAGGTGTCGCTAGCTAAAGGTAGAAGTCTCGATCGAACGTGCCCAACAACCATAGTAGTGATATGAACTTTCAAGAGTAAATTCTCGGAGTCTTGTGAAGAAGTCTTGATCATTGAAGTTCATGTGTGTTGATGTGAGCTAGTCACCCTTTTAAAGACATTAGATGAGGTCATTTAAAATATGAAATACTGACTGGGCTTAAACATTCACATCATTGAAAGCTAATTCACTGGTCTAGTAGTCAAACATTCTCATATGAGAACAAAGGTCCTACTTTCAACTTACTTGTGTGGTTTTATTCTGTGCGCATTACTGAGAAGTCCTAAATTATAACAAAAAAGGACCGACCGTCAAGGTGCTTCCAGAAATTTCTGTGTTCCGTTTAATTAGACCACTTCGTGATTACAATGAAATTAATTTTAGCAACCCATTTTAACAAAATGGGTTAGTACTGCGGTTCCCTCAAACAATCAGGAACTTAACAAAATATGTAATTTCTACAAGACAGAATAAACATTCTCTTTTTTTTAAAGAATAGTTTCAATGAAAACCAATCGATTTTTATTGAATTATCAATTTCATTTGAATCAAGCGGTATTTTCAAAGTGTTTGCATTATGAAGTGATCTTTCACTTCAAATGTATAACAAACCAAGAAAATGATAGTTGACCATTTTGTACCAATACACCATCATCATTGTACAAATAGAGATCGAACTCGTCTAAGTCGATATCCTATACGTACACGTGTAACATCGACATAAATTTACACTCATATCTGTGACACTGATTACCTACAAATCAATTCATCATTTCGTACACCAATCAGACATAATATACACTCAATACATCTCGCATGTTCAATATACATTCAACTTCGATAGTCACAATTTATCAATAGAACTACACTAGTTAACACTTCAGCCTATACTCACTACTACTCACCAAATGGGTCTAGCCAAAATGAGGGATGGAGGGAGGGAGTGGAGATTTGTAGAGATCAATCACGGATGATGAAATGATGAATGACACTATCGCTCACTCACTCTCTCTGTGTCTCTTTTCGAATCATATGGTTAGTAAACTGAACTAAACTATAACAATGAGACAGTGATAATTGAGTAGCGCTAGTCGTAGATGTGCACTGTCATTGATAAGTCCCATATGAGGACCAAAATCCAGTGCTTCCAAGTTTCCAATCGTGGTCTAACTAACATCCATCGATGCATGATTTTAGGAAACTAACTCTCCGCTCTCCACAACCTTTTCATGCAAACTGACTTATAAGTTATAGTCAGCGAAATTAACAGACAATTTCCTTTAACGATTTGAAGTAATGAGCTGTGTAGAGAAAGGGGATAAAGAATTGATTGAGAAGTTAGTCGATCGATTTGAATTTTATCATTGACATGAAATGTTGATGATCTTTGTTAGACAGTTGTTAGTTAGGAAATTGATTCATTTTCGAATGCGTTTCAGTAGTAGTTTGACTTTTCGAGGAAAAATTTGAAAAATTATTCTTAGAATCAATGTCTTAATTCCATAAGTTAACATGATCATAATTTACAAGTGTATTTTTTGTTGTGATAATCTAGTTTAATGGTGTGAATGATTTGTTCTGATTAGTCATTTGTCTTATTGAGTAAGTTAGTATTTTATGTATTGAGTTCAGTAACACTATGCTCAATCTTCCTCGTTTATCTGAGCTTGGGATCAGCAGTAACCCTAGAAGGGATCCGGGTGGAGTTTAGGGATTAATGAATATATTACTGACTACTTTTTGTAGTAAACTGAATTAAAATTCACGGCGTTACAATACGAAATTGATTAAATCACTTGTTAACCCCAATGAAGCATACGGCGCTGATCAGCATTCTCTCCAACCTTTCTCTGTCTTGAGTTTCCCTTTCCAGTTCTATTCAATTTTTGTTCATTCTTCTCATGTCTGTCTCCACTTCTCGACGTAATATTGTGTTTTTTAATCTTCCTTTTTTCCTTTTACCTTGTGGGTTTCAAGTGAGGGCAAATTGTGTGACTCAGTTAAGTGCTTTCCTCAATGTGTGTATGTGTCCTATCCACTTCCAGTGCTTCTTCCTGATTTCTTCTTCCTCTGCTGGAATCTCGCCTTTCCTCTCCCTCAGTAGGTTCTTGCTACTAGTGTCTGGTCAACGGATCCAAAGTATTTTGTGTAGACAACTGTTAATAAACACTTGTATCTTCTGAATGATGGTTTTTCGTAGTTTTCCGAGTTTCCACCCCATACAGTAGAACTCTGTCTTGAAATTTGTATTGAAAATTGTGACTTCGGTGTTGGTTGATGTCTATCTATCCAAAGACTATAGAACGTAATTTAAATGTATTCATCTGTATTCATCTTTAAACTAATTGTACAAGCTAGTGATTATTGAAAGGATCTTGAGTTCGAGTCCAACAATGATTTCATTAACCCAACGATTCAGGTATTCATTCAGCTAGTGATGAGTCACAAATAGGACAAAACACGTATCCTGATATTCATGATGATTAAAAAAATGCTAGTCAGAAAATGAATTACTGAGTTCTTTTTCTCTATTGTAGCGAAGAATTCGAGCTTCGAAGCGTCCATTGTGTTATAGTTTAATCCTTTTTCGATAAGTTGTTCTTCTATTGTCCTTTAGTGTTGTTGCAAAACGTTGATCACACCATTATTTCAGTTTTGTTCAGTGGGTAGCTTTGAAATCTTGATTAAGTTTATCTTTGAGGATATTTCTTCTTTGTTCTGTGTCGTCTGCTTGACATCTTGATCACCGTTGTCACTGCTGTTAAGTGTTCCGATATGAGTATTTTCTCTAGTTTTCTTATTTACCCATCTATGTTGCGTTGGTATTTGTGGATCCTGTAATGTGCATCGGTGGTCATTAGTTGTATCATATGTCTTCCACTTTGATCCGCTATTCGCCATCCCATTTGGCAGTCGATTGGTCGGCGGAACGTGCTGACGAAGACATTCGTCGAGAAAGTAGAGTTGTCCTCGAGTGCAGCTTTCGAGTCGCCGTTTAACAGTGTTCAACGTTTAATGACAATTAATCTGTGGTCTTACGCAACATTCATTCATTGTGTTAATGGTGAATAAGTGTTTTACACAGCGACCCGATACATGAGAATCGAATTTAAAACCTTCGGCCCCCTTCACGTAAGTAAGTAAGTAAGTAAGTAAGTAAGTAAGTAAGTAAGTAAGTAAGTAAGTAAGTAAGTAAGTGCATAAGTAAGTAAGTAAGTAAGTAAGTAAGTAAGTAAGTAAGTAAGTAAGTAAGTAAGTAAGTAAGTAAGTAAGTAAGTAAGTAAGTAAGTAAGTAAGTGCATAAGTAAGTAAGTAAGTAAGTAAGTAAGTAAGTAAGTAAGTAAGTAAGTAAGTAAGTAAGTAAGTAAGTGCATAAGTAAGTAAGTAAGTAAGTAAGTAAGTAAGTAAGTAAGTAAGTAAGTAAGTAAGTAAGTAAGCAAGTGCATAAGTAAGTAAGTGCATAAGTAAGTGCATAAGTAAGTAAGTAAGTAAGTTTAGATTCATATTCTGCGAAATTCTATTCAACTAAAGCAATCTAATTACATTTTGCTCACTGCTGCTGATGAGTCTCATACTAGGACGAAGTGGCCGTCCACTGCTTTCAGGTTTCTAATGGCGATCTAACAATGATTCATTCTATTCATAAATAATTTTAGATACTCAGAAAAAACAAGGTCTACAGTTATTCATTCATTGCTAGTTTTCAAAACAATTGTCTAACTAACATTCGCAATCCGGGACTTCTATGGATATTCATTGCTGTTGAGTCACTAGTTCCGTACGAGGACAAAAAACTCGTCTAACACAGTGTTTACAGGTTTCTACTGATAGTCAAACGATGATCGGTTCATTATTTCAATAAAAAAGTAGGTTTTTGGAAGTTCTGTAGATTCCGACCTTCATACGACAGACTATACACTTGAGCAATGTGTTGAAAATTCTGACTTTGGTGTTGATTGGTAGATAGTTGTTTTACGTTTGGGATGCCCTTTCACTGCAGAAACATTGCTCTTAAATTTTTAGTCTATGCCTTCATATTTGTATCAGAAAGCTTTTGTTTATTAATGACACTGTTCAATGTCAAATTATATGTTTAAAAGAATTATTTGCACAGAAATTCGCTTATCATTATCATTACAGACGTATTTGTCAGTTAGAAAACGACTGAAAAGCACAAATCAGATAATCGATTCGATTCTAAATTAACTGTGAACACTTAAACTTTCAAATTACAAACTCTGCTAAAATTGTAGAAGAACACTACTATCTTCTCAATCAATTCTTTATTCCCTTTCTCTACACCTGTTGAGAAAGGGTATAAAGAATTGATTGAGAAGATAGAAGTGTTCTTCTACAATTTTAGCAGAGTTTGTAATTTGAAAGTTTAAGTGTTCACAGTTAATTTAGAATCGAATCGATTATCTGATTTGTGCTTTTCAGTCGTTTTCTAAACAACAAATACTTCTGTAGTAAAGATAAGCGAACTTCTGTTCAAATAATTCTTTTATTCATTTAATTCAACATTGAAAA